ATAAAACAAGTAACATGACAGGAAGAATCGACCCCTAGGGTCTCAACAGTACCGGCGTGAAGCCTTTACATGATAATCAGCATGATTTACAGCTCATCTACTTAATCACATAAGTGCGACACAAATATCAACAAGAAAGAGTCACTAAGCGGGGCCATGGAATGATCCAGGCCGTAATTCCCACGGTACACAACACACGCCCGTCACTTGGCATTTGCGTCACCTCAATAGTAATCATAGAACACATAGTTCGGGGTTCCGAACCCTCAAAACCAAGTGTGGACGCGTTACTTACCTCAAGCCAAGCCAAACTCTAGCCCGCGACGCTCTTTCCTCTCGATTCGGCCTCCAAATGCCTCGAATCTAACCAAAATTAGTTTATAACCATCAATATATGCTAAAGGAGTGAAACCCATACGAAATTAATCAAATTACATCACAAATCCCGAAATTGACCAAAACCGACCCCCGGGCCCACGTCTCGAAATTCGATTAAAATTACATCAATAGAATCCTTATCCTCCCACGAGTTCGTACATACCAAATATACCAAAATCCAACCACAACTGTCCCCTCAAATCCCTAAATTTAGGTCTCCAATTCCCAAGCCCTAAACCTCCAATTTTTTCTACTAAATTCCATAGATTTCAAGCTTAATCAGTCAAAAACCACCATAAAACGAGTTTAGGGTCCAAAAACCTTACCTCCACGAAACCTTCTTGAATTCGCTCTTCAATTTGCTCTCCCAAGCTCTATCCCGTATGAAAAGTGATGAAAAATAACTCAAAATCGCATAGGCCTCAATTTATATGTTCTGCCCCAGCAAAACCGCATCTGCGGTCAAAATTCTCGCACTTGCGGAACCGCGCTTGCGGTCCCAGGTGCGCACCAGCGGAAATCACTTAACCGCTCCAGGACCGCACCTGCGATCCAAATCTCGCACCTGCGCCAAATAATCCGCATCTACGTATCCAGTCATTCCTTCCCTTGGCCGCATCTGTGACCCCTTTTCGCTTCTGCGGGCACGCACCTGCGGTCCACAAGCTGCAGGTGCGGTTATGCAGGAGCTTCAGCACTTCAGCTGCTAATTCCAACTCCAAACCTCCTGTCAACCACCCGAATTCACCCCGAGGCCCCTGGGACTTCAACCAAAAGTACGAGCAAGTTATATACCACCTTCTAAAGTAATATCAATCTTCAAAACACCTAAAACAACGTCGAATCAACAAAATAACATCGGATTCAAGCCTAAGGTTTCCAAAAACTTCCGAATTCCGCTTTTGATCAAAAAGTCTATCAAACCTCGTCCGAATGACCTGAAATTTTGCACACATGTCCCAAATGACACAAATGACCTACTGCAACTCTCGGAATTCCATTCTGACCCCGGTATCGAAATTTCCACTATCAATCGGAAAATGCCAAAAATCCATTTTCGCCAATTCAAGCCTAAATCTACTCCGGACCTCCAAAACACATTCCGATCACGCTCTTAAGTCCCAAATCACCTTCCGAAGCTATCCAAATCATAAAAACCAAATTTCGAGATCGTTTTCTCATAAGTCAACTTTCGTTGACTTTTCCAACTAAAAGACCAACTTAAGAGACTAAGTGTCTCATTACTCTACCAAACCGCTCCGAACCCGAGCCAACCAATCCGATAGCGCATAATACAGCTGAACACGACATAAAGAAGTAGAAATGGGAAAGACGGAGCGGTAACTCATGAAACGACCAGCCGAGTCGTTACACGTGGGCCCGAGGGCGATTTTGTCAACTTTTCAAGCGGAGTTGGAAATTTATATAAATTGAATTGTTATAAGTATTAGGGTATATTTTTATTGGTTTGACCATTATTTGTCTGGTTTTGGGAGAGTTAGCATCGATTTGAGTCATCGGAAGGGCGTGGAATGCCGGTTATGAAACTTCGGAGCGAGGTAAGTCTGCCTCTAACCTTGTAAGAGGGAATTAACCCCATAGGTGAAATAATTAATGTGCTCCTATTTGTGGGGGATACGTACGCACGAGGTGACGAAAGTCCGTACGTAGCTACTATTATGCTTAAGTCTGGGTAGTCTAGGACCCAAAAGCATGCTTTACTTGCCATACTTGTAACTTATCGACAATTTAAAAGGCTTAAATCATATCGAACTTGGTAAATAAATTTCGAAAGGGCTAAACATCACTTTCTTGACTGTTAAAAGAAAAGTTGTCTATTCCTTGGGTAATTTTTCCATGATGAAGTTTTGATCGAATGTTTGGATGTGTGTTTCTATGTGTACATGCGTCGCATGTATCATTCGCGAGCGGGGTAATTCTTTTATTTATATTTGACCGCGTTGCACGTATGATTCGCGAACGGGGTAATAGATGCATCTATGGTTCGCGCCATTTGACCCTCTGGCAGTGCGCATTTTATTATTATGCTGGATCGGGCCGTACGACCTCGACATGATTTGCACATGCTTTTATTGCTTGCCTTGACATTTATAAATAATGATATTGTCTCTCTGGCTTGAGATAAATTGATAAATGAGGAAATATGAATTTTGGAAATCTCTTACTATTAAAAGAATTATTTACCTGCGTCATGCTTATTGAGTTTGAAATCACCTGATAAAATCCATGCTTCTACACATTTAAGTATTTGTTTATCGGACCACTCATGAGTGTCGAAGTCGACCTCTCGTCACTACTTCTTCGAGATTAGACTGGATACTTACTGGGTACTCAATATTTTCGTAATCATACTACACTTGCTGTGCATTTTTGTTGCACAGGCGCATGCATATCTAGTGGCCTAGTGGGCGCAGCAGCATGGTTGGTACGGAGACTTAGGTGAGCTGCATCGCTCGAGATGACCCGCGGCCAGCAGAGTCTCCTTCAGAGTATTGTACTTTCTTTCTATCCAAATTGTATTCCGGACAGTCATTGTATGTTATTGTAAATTTCTAATAGATGATCATGCACTTGTGACACCGGGCTGGGATGACTATGAGATTATTCAATATTTATGTTTGTTAAAGACATTATTATTTACTTAGTGAAATTCATTATTTATTGTTTAAATGTAAGGAAAAGAAATGCTTTCAAAAATACTAAAATGAGAGTTTAATTAATTTCTTGGTGTTGACTTGCCTGACAGTAGTGTCCGACGCCATCACGACCTTTAATGGATTTTGGGTTGTGATACTTATCAGGGGGAGTTAATACGTGTTGTACTCCTTTTTCCTTACAAGGTTTTGTCCCACTGGTTTTTCCTTGCAAGGTTTTTAACGAGGCAACCAAAAGGCGTATTGTTAGATATGTGTGCTCTTTTTCCTTCCCTAGAATTTTTTTTCCACTGGATTTTATTTTAGTTAAGGTTTTAACGAGGCACTTTATCTGTTGAATAG